AAGGTAAGTTCCAAACTAGACAAAGCTACATATGGAGAGCCTGTCTTTAAAAAAACAAAACAAAACAGCAAAGCCCAGTGTGGTGGCACACACCTTTAAACCCAGTCAATACTCACAGACCTGGTCTGTATGTGAGTTCCAGGACAGCTGTTGCTACATAGACCTTTTCCATAACAAACCCCCAAAACAAAAGGATTGTCAAGATGGCTGCTCAGTGGGTAAGGGTGTTAAGCCTGATGATGAGCTTGATCCTTGGGACCCACATGGTGGGAGGAGCTACCCACTCCTTCAAGTTGTTCTCTGACCTCCACACAAATCAAGTGATTGGGGAAATGGCTTTTAGTAAAGTGCTTGCCCCACAAGCATGAGAACCTGATTGATTCCTCAACATTCATGAAAAAGCTGGTGCCATAAGACCTGTAAACCCAGTACTTGGGAGGTGGAGGGAGGAGGATCAAGAGTTCAAGAACATTTTCAGCTACCTAGTAAACTCTTATGAGATCATGTCTTTAAAAATGAAGGGGGGTGGGGTGGGGAGATGGCTACTCAGTTTACAGCATTGAGTACTAGCTGCTCTTCCAGAAGTCCTGAGTTCAATTCCCAGCAACCACATGGTGGCTCACAGCCAGCTATGGGATCTGATGCCGTCTTTTGGCATAATGCCATACATACAGAAAGAACACTCAAACAGAAAATAATTTTGTTTTTTCGAGACAGGGTTTCTCTGTGTAGCTTTGGAGCCTGTCCTGGAACTCTATAGACCAGGCTGGCCTCGAACTCACAGAGATCAGCCTGCCTCTGCCTCCCAAGTGTGCCACCACTTGGCTGAAGATAAATTTTTAAAAAACAGCTGCTAAAAATTTATTTTAAATTGGTAGATTTTTTTCAGTGCAAAAACCATGTGCCTTTACAATTCAGGTACTTGAGAGGCAGCGGCAGAAAGATTTCAAGGCTGGAGAGATGGCTCAGTTAAGAAAGCTCTTGCCCCACTGGCTTGAGGCTGGAGTTTGGGTGTTCAAAGCCCACAAAAGACAAGTGGGCAAGGTGGCTACCTTGACAAGATGTATCACTGAGTTCATCAAGAGACCCTGCCTCAGTAGAAAAAAAAAAAAAGGGCACATCTTGCCTCCAGACACATGTGCATGCCCTACATGTGTAAACGTGCATGCACTGACAAAGGACTTAGTGTGTTTCTGTTGTCACTATGTAGTTCACTTACGATACTAAACAAATTCAACTTCAGTCAGGGGAGAGCAGGGTCCTAACAGGATCTGACAGTTACAGGACAACAAGAGACTGACAGCAGCCAAGTATGTGCACAGGCCCACAGCACCCACAGGCCAAGTCATGATGAGAATTCAATGCTAACCTGGGTGATTTAGTGAGACACTATCTAGAAAGAAAAAAGGCTGGTGATAGAGCTTAATTGAAAAGTTGGGAGAACACTTGGCTAGAATGCACAAGGCCTTAGGTTCAGTTCCTACTACTTCAAAAACAAAACAACTCTGATTTCATGGAAACTGTGTGTGTGTGTGTGTGTGTGTGTGTGTGCGCGCGCGCGTGCGCGCGTGTGCGTGTGTGCACGTGTGCGTGTGTGTGTGTCCGTCCGTCCGATGGAGACCAGAAGAGGACATTGATTCCCTGGGGTGGTAGGAACGAAACTAGTCCTTTGTAAGAACAGCAGCACTCCTAACTGCTGAGCTATCTCCCCAACTTTGTACCTATTTATGATTAACAATTTTGCATGTGTATTAACAATGATCACCTCTTTTTTTTGGGGGGGGGGGTTTCAAGACATGGTTTTTCTGTGTAGCTTTGGAGCCTATCCTGGCACTTGTTCTGTAGATCAGGCTGGCCTCGAACTCACAGAGATCCACCTGCCTCTGCCTCCCGAGTGCTGGAATTAAAGGTGTGCACCACCACTGCCTGGTAGAAAGATTTTTTTTCCTTAAGATTTTTAAGTTACGTGTCTGTGTGTGGGTATATACACCTGAGTACAGATGTCAGCAGAGGCAAAATTGAGTGTTGGATCCTCTGAAGTTGTAAAGACATTGTGGCCACCTGACTTGGGTCTTCTCCAAGGCAGTATGTGCTCTTAACCATTAAGCCATCTCTCCAGCCCATGACAAGGTTTCCCCACAGGTCAAGAATACCAGAAATTCTTGTGAAGTTGGTTTCAAGGGTAAAAAGTAGAACCAATTTTGATTGTGAGCCATGGCTCAGCTGTTAAGAGCACTGGCTGCTCTTCTAGAGGACCCAGGTTCAATTCCCAGCACCCACATGGCAGTTTTCCAAGGGAATCTGACACTCACACAGGCATACATGCAAGCAGAGTACTGATGGACATAAAATAATATTTTTTAAAAAGAACTGAATAGCTGCTTACTTGGGATATATGAAGGCCGATATCTCAATTCAGTGCACCCGATGGTATAGAATGATATGCCTCTATATCCATCTCAGCCAAATTCAGTTGTCACAACTGCTGTGTCACTGTACCTACAATGGCTGAGACCCCTGTACAAAAAGACTTCATGACCAGGTAAGTGAATAGATTTCCTACTTTTTCTGTACTTACATCCTTCCAAAATTCCCCTAGGGAATGCTGAAAACAGCATCTGCATTTGTTTTTAAGATTTATTTATTATGTACAGTGTTCTGCCTGCATGTATGCCTACAGGCCAGAAAAGGGTTGTGAGCCACCATGTGGTTGTTGGGACTTGAACTCAGGACCTTTGGAAGAGCAGGCTGTGCTCTTAACCACTGAGCCACCTTTCCAGCCCCAACATCTGCATGTTTATTTGCACAGAATTATCCTCTTTTCAATGAACTCAGGGTCTTAGTCTCTAAAACTCAACTTTTCCTTTTAAAAATGTACCCAGGTAGTGGTAAATGCCTTTAGTCCCAACACTCAGGAGGCAGAGGCAAGTGGATCTCTTTTTCAAGGCCAGGCTGCTGATCTATAGAGGGAGTTCCAGGACAGCAAAAAAAAAAAAAAAAAAAAAAAAAAAAAAAAAAAACCAACAAAACAAACAACCAAACAAAAAAGGGTGTGTGTGTGTGAAGATCTGAAGTAAGAAGATCAAGTGTTCAAGGCCAGCCTGGGCTGGGTTAGTCAAATCCTTTGTCAAACAAACACTAAAGCTAAAATAACAGAGTGTGTGGGGGACTTGAGAGATGGTTCAGCAGGCCAAAGCACACATAGAAGACTCAGGTTCATTTCCTAGCACTCACATGGCAGCTCAACCATCTCTAATTCCAGTTCCAGGGGTGCAACGACCTCTTCTGACCTGGGTAGGCAGACATGTGGTGTAGACACACATGCAACCAAGAACACCCATATATATAAATAAACAAAAGAGCCTGCACTGCTCTTGAAGAGGACCCAAGTTCAGGTTCCAGCATTCAAGCAGCTCAGAACTACCTGTAATTTAGCTCCAAGGGAATCTAGGAACCTGCACTCATGGACACACAGGCACATATAAACACACGTAATTAAAAGGCAGGATTACTGAAAGGTTTTAAACCATCCTAGTCTACATAGGCAGTTCCAGGCCAAACATGGTTATACTGTGAGACTTGTTCTATAACAAAACAAAAAATAACAGACAAGACTCTCTAACTGCCCTTGTGACATATGCTTGTAACCCTAGCACTGGGTAAGAGGGCCACCTTGAATTGGGTAATTCTGAGCTAAACAGTAAATTTCAGACTAGCATGGGTTAGAGTAAAAAGTGCTAGTGAGATAGGTTTGCACATAAATCACAAGCAGTCTGAGCCTGGTTCCCTGAACCCAACTCCACAAAGTTGTCCTCTGACTTTAACATATATATGTATATACTAATGTATTAAAACAAAGCAACAGGGCTGGAGAAATGGCTCAGATGGTTAAGAACTTTGGCTGTTCTTCCACAACCCTGCTTTGATTCCTGGAACCCACACTGAATGGGTCCCAAAAGCCTGTATCACATGCTTTCTTCTGGTCTCCAGACATTGGACACACAAGTGGTGCACAGGCATATATGTAGGCAAAACATACAATAAGACAATAGGCCGGGCGTTGGTGGTGCATGCCTTTAATCCCAGCACTTGAGAGGCAGAGACAGGTGGATCTCTGTGAGTTCGAGGCCAGCCTCGTCTCCAGAGCGAGTGCCAGGATAGGCTCCAAAGCTACACAGAGAAACCCGGTCTCAAAAAAAAAAAAAAAAAAAAGGGCCAGCCTGGTCTACAAATCGAGTTCCAGGACAGCAGGCCAGGGCTGTTAAACAGAGAATAATTTCCCAGCAATCTGAGACAGAATGATGTGACAGTTCTTAGAATGTGTACAGCAATTATAAATGCTTCAGCATTTACTACAATAATAAATTGAGACCATTTAAAATATTAAGGCATCAGATTTCAAGCCTACAGTGTTCATCTATAGTAACTAAGCCATGGAAACCACTTCCAACAGGGGGAACTGAGGCAAGAGGGGTTTCTGGTGAGCCAGTCACACCCAATGTAGTGGCACATGCATCTGTGTAACCCAATACTGGAGGGCAGAGGCACAGGGTTCAAAGTTCTGAGACAGAGTGGGCAGTACAGGGGAAGGAGACCTGGTCTTTAAAAAAAAAAAAAAAAAAAAAAAAAAA